TAGATACACATATACACATACATATACGAATGCACCGTCTACTGTATCTACACCTGTATTTTCTTTCTCGTTCTTGTTAGTGTGCACTATACAGACACATATTCGTTCAGGTGACCGAATAATATACCCAAATATGTCTAGATATATACAAGCGCTATGACATACCCGTGGTCCCTTCTGTTCCTGGCTTCCCATTGACAGTCTTTCCCCTCCCGCAATAGATGGTCGAGGAGACTGCGTGCCCTGAGGCGGTTGGTTTGGCGTTGCCTTTGCCTGTGCCTGTGCCTGTGCCTGTGCCTGTGTCTGTGCCCGTGTCCTGGGCTGCTCGTTGTCTGTCTGTGCAGTCTCTTCTAATAGGCCTAGCACCACCTTCTTCTTTCTCGTCTTCCGGTTGAGCTCATTAGCGGCCCCTGCGTCCGTGTCACGTGGATGGCTGTGTGCACTTGTTTCTGGCCCACCCCCTTCCGCAGTGTCATCCGTCGTCGTCGCGTCTGTAGCTGCGTAGCTGGCTGTCATTGACGTGTGAATGGCTGTGGGTTTGGACTCACTCGTTGGACTGGGAGGGTGTTGGCTTGGGGCAGATGGCTTGTCCATGCCTGTCGGCATCTCGGCGGTGTCGTCTGTGGCATTCTCGGGTGTTGTTGCTTCCTCTGCTGCTGTAGCTGTCTCAGCAGTGTCTTTGGTTCCCACACTCAGCGCTGCGTCGCGTTTGACAGTCAACGCAGCACTGGATGAACGTCTTCTGGGTGGCCTGTGGGGGGCTTTCTCGGCATAGTCGTCGGTTGCTAAGGCGTGTCTGGTGGTGTCAGTGGCAGCACTTGCCCACCTATTTGGCCTAGGAGAGGGTCTTGGAGAGGGTCTTGGTGATGGTGTAGGCGACGGCCGAGGTGACGCTTTCGGTAATGCAGTAGTGGGGGGATGAGCAGTTGATTGAGCTTGATCGTTGGTAAGTAAGTACTCTTGCGCTTTTGTAATGGATTGCGTGTCCACGTGCGAGAACTGTTCCTGCGGTGGTTGCGTGTGTGCATGTGCCAAGGGTGCACTCTCGTGTCTACTGTCATCCCCTGCCCCATCTTTCATAGTCTCTCCTTTCAATGCGATTGCTTCTGCACTGCAGCGGGTGTCATTAACAGACAGTATCTGTGCATCTCTGGGTGTAAATGCTACCAGTCTATCCCGGAACAAGCTCAGCAACTGTGCGCGTTGCGTCGCCGCTGACTTCAATGTGCACGACCGATCCAACAGGCATGTGTACATGTCTAACAGAGGTACTTCTCTATGGCTCAATTCAAAAGCTATAGGCTTCTCATCCGCATATGCCACGTGTTTGGCCGTGTACGCGGCGGAGTGTATGTGCTTGTGTTTGGTAGGCGAGTGTGTGGGCCTGTGCTTGACAGGTGCGTGCACAGATGTCGTATCGTGTGGACTTGCTTGACTCTCGTGTGCACCATGTGACTGCGTGCCCGCTAATGGAGTCAGTAGTGTGCGCACACTGCATCGCAGTGCGGCTGCGTCTATGTATGAGAGCGTGGACAATGAATCCAACACGTAAGTGACATCGTCGACATCAGTTGAGTTGTTCGTCTGGAGGGGTGAAGCAGTGCCGTTTAGTACAAGGTTACGCCCGCTGCCAGGAACTCGCATGGCCCCCAAAGGCACCCCATCCTCCTCAGGGAACGGAGATGACCGTCCAGACATGTTTAGATTGTGTTTTAAAGCTTGGAGTTTTGCTCTCGTGTGAATATCATGTGCCGCAGGTGCGACGTCTAAAGTATGCTACAGGCGATGAGCGAGGTCTAAGTGAACGGGGGGTGGGAAGACTCTCTGCAGCAACCGTTTCTGTTCATTAATCAACCCCAGTCCAAACTGCTTTGCCTTTGAGCGTTGGTAGTTGTCAACAGTGTTCAGTGTGTAGGGTGTGTACTGTGTAAAGAAGTCAGAATGACACATCTCTCGGTCTACCGCAGAGAGAGGCACTATGTATCGAAGAAGTAAAATAATATTGAGCTAAAAAAAAGTCTGCGCTAAAAATTATTTTTAGTCAAGCGAATCAAGGCGATCTATTTACTTATCGGCTCCTTGTAATAAATACTATGTAGGGTTCAGCGGTTTTGGGTTTTGCACCCAGGTGTAAAACAGCCTTGTATAAGGCCATTTATGTACGTGTAAAGTGTGTGATCCTTTGTTGTATTTTGTTACACACTCGAAGAAGGACGCCTAACGAAAGTGGAGGCTATTTATTTAAAATATGTATGGTATTTCAAATCAAGGTCATAACATATTCAATGAACTAATACCACACCTACCGAGCCCCCAGGCTATGAAATCACACACATAGCCTCCCGAGACCAAGAGACTGTTTCAAGTCTGCTGCCCCAGGATATGAATCAAATATCAACACGGTACTATTAGTCAGTGGTTGTATCCGTCTACACCACGAACTGTATACACAATATACACGAAGTTGAATGCACACCAATAGTTTTATAGCGTGAAGAGCTGAAAGAATGACCAAGGACGAAAAGCTCAGAACTAACCTTTTTTTAAATAAATCGCTTCGAATTCGAGCCAGTTGACCACTTGTTTTCAAATGGGTTAAATCCTAATTGAATTGGACACACAAATTGTAGTTGAGCGACAGTTGTAATAAACGGTATGAGGAATGTATCTGAACTAGAGGCACTGAATATTGGGATGTATTTGAGAATGCGTACGGTAAAATGAATTGGATTGCTACAGTTTTAAAGTTCTGAGCCTGATTCACGTGTCAATCAAGTAGTTGGAACACAAACACTTTCTATGTACGACTGAGCAAAAGTGGTGCAGTAAACCTTTGAAAACAGTGCAATGTATTAAATGGTGCTGATTAATCGATAGGGAGTTGAGATATACCGTGGCTACTTCGAAGCTCAACGTAGCTAAGTCGAGTGAGAATACATGGCCGGATCCCTTTCTATTTGTTAACCTCCAAGCGAATCATCACGATGTACTCTTTTATCGTGTATGTCGAAAACATAGAGTTGTGACCTTAGAGATGATGACGCCTATACTTAGTGCGGGCAAGGTGATCACCATTAAAATGAAATCTAGTTCTCGGAAACATTCGTTTGCGAGTGTTTGAATCTTTCATTTTCGAGCATTGAAATTACTGTTGTTAGAAGTTCAATACAATCAACCGCACTTGAACAGTACGTGGACTGCGCTAGCGTATACACGTTTGCTCAAACGTCTCGCCTGTTGTAACCAACAATGTCAGCAACAAGATAGGATCTGCACATATCTAGTCCGATATAGTTATAATTGTCCACACATAAAGTAACGTGTACAGTATCCTCGAGTGGCCATCCTCAGCCCACGAAGTGGAGCTCAAGTAAATATTTACGTCGATTTACATACTGTCACGTCACAACTGAATGGTACGCTTTCTCTCTAAATAGGTATTGTATGTATTTATCTGTATATTTTTTGAAGACTTGACTCCAGTTTCAGGACTGTCCAAATTACTGCCAAATTTGATTCGGATAATATCCACGCAGTTGATTGACGCAAAATTAAAAATGCCACAGAAGGATACAGATAAGAGTGAACATAAAATATTCGGTGTAATATTCTCTAATTTAAGTAGGGCTGTAAATCTGTATGTGGCTATGTATATCCTATCAGACCTGTTGTCATAATTCAGTTACTCAAAGTAGCGATAGATTCCATATCAGGAACAGGGACCTGCGCGCACCTGTGTTTAAATGCTCTGGAACGTATAAAAGCTCCACGGTTGAAGAGGCGACTAGACAAACCACGGAATGTCTGATGATTAAATATCACAAGACGCGCAGCAACGAGCCACCACATCACTTCAGGTACGTACATATAACATGC